TCGGGGGAAGAACCAAGTCCGGGACTAGACTAAGTTCCGCTGCATCGATTTCATGGTAGTCACGGTCTCCTTTGACTATATTCATTTGGTCCTCCAATTGTTTGATTTTTCCTCCATCTTCCTCGCTTTTACCTCTTCGTCCAAATCCGGTACATGGTAATAACCCGGATTGTTCTTAGGGTTGAATACAGAGGACGAGGGCTTTGCTTTTGCAGCAGATGAGTCCCCTCGAAGTTCTGGTAGGATTTCAGGTGAGATAACCACTTGCGGGGTAGGTTGTATAGTTACCCCTTCCGGTGAACCTGCCCCGGGCGCACTGGTCTGTTGTAGGCCAACTAACTTGGCAACGATCTGATCAACCAAGGACTCTTGGTTCTTTGTGATTGTTCCAGAGTATTTCGACTGTTCTGGTTTATTTTGTCTTCTAGCTCCTTTTGTAGTTTTAACATATTCTCCTCGATTTGTGTAATTCTGGCTTCCATCCTCTTCTTCTTCAAACGAGTGTTATGTGGATGGGGTGTGTCCAATACTTGAGGCGGTGTATCCAGTATTTACTCCTTTTGATGAGACATGTATATATTAGTTAATGTGAATGCAAAGAAAATAACAAAATGCACAGAAAATAAGAAATGCAAAATGTCTAAATATGTGATGCATGAAATGTCCGAGGCATTGATCCAAAAAATGTGCATGTTATTCTGAATAACCCTTATTGGTGACAAAAGTGTTATGTCTGAAGAGACAAAAAACTCTTTTTGATGGTACGAATCCTGTACAGCTTCTGACAAGTTGATTCGTCTTTTTCACTAGTTGAATATCCTGTCGAACCATTCCGGCTCCTTTGGCTAAAATGTGCAAATAATGAGATGCTTGCCCCAAAAAAGATCTCGAAGGACTGCATCTCTGACTTTCACTTTCTACCGAGCTTGTTTCTAACGAAAGTGTCATTGGAGCCCTCCATCGGGAGAAACTATCCGAAGCTTGCTTCTTGAATTCGTCAGTAATGGCATCCAGCTCAGCTAGTGTTTCACCATCTTGTTCTTGTAGTTTTTCGAAAGGAGCGACCGGGTCAGTGACCTTTTCCTCGTCTTGCCCCTGCACCCTTTGCCTCCGAGTATTCTCTGACCACGGCTGGACTTCTGAGCTTTTTATCTCTTTGTATTGTAACCCCTTTGTCCATTAATATTGATTATTCATGTTTAACAAACATATTTTTGGTGGATCAACATCCCGTTTTAAATGATGCGAATGATGAAAATAAAATAAAAGAAAACAAAAATAAAAAGAGTTAGTGAGGTAAATCAAAACAAAAATGAAAAAATCCTACCCCACATGATATCTACCCCACATGCTTTAATTCCTATCCGGACATGATCTCTATCCCGTATGCTAATTTCAAACAAATCCTAACCGCATATTTGTCTAGTTCGCATGCTTTGAACAGAAAATAAAGTAGGAAATAAAATATCCTAGGGTTTGGAATGAGGTTTTGGGGCGGGCTCTAAATTCCCTGTACTCTCCCGGTTTAGGTTCTAAAAAACGGTACTCGAGTTCTCCTTGCCGGTGCCCCCTTGGGCTTGCCAGACCCTTAGTCCTAAACCCATCACAGGCTTGTGTGGACTAAGTTAAACTCGAGAGGACACATTCCCTTATGCCCATACGGAGAATAAATTCACACGAAGGCATAAGGTATATGAATCCCGAAGGCTACTTGCTAGGCCCGCACGGTGAATAAATTCACACGAAGGCGTCGCTTTCACCCCCACTTAAAAGGGTTCGGAGCTCGGGTATAGAGCCAGAGATGGAAACTTTTCAAAAATCTGAAATCATTGAAAAAAATGTTAGTACAACTATTTATTTCAAAAATAATCAAAGGTAAATAACTGGAATCGAATAAATAAATTTAAATTTAAATTTACAATTTTCGCATAAAAAGACAACCGAAAATTAATTCTGGCCTGACTCACTTACCTGTCCCCAGCGGAGTCGCCAAGCTGTCGCAACCGTCTTTCGGTTTGGGCCCCGGAATTGGGCTTCGACTTGGATTAAACGAATTGGAGTCGCCACCGACCATTTTAAAACGAATTTAGGTAGATCGGACACCATCTTACCTGATCTGCGTTGTACCAGAAACGTGTCGGGTTCGGGAGTCGGTTACGGTCAAGGAAGGATTAGCACCCTTGAACCGCCCTTTCGGTACCAATTAATTTATCGGTTGTCTTTAATGGCAAAAATTAAAAATTTAAATTGAAATTTTAAAAACTCGATTCAAATTACTTACCTTTGATCAGTTGAAGTTACCACTAAAAATGTCGAAAAATGTTAGATGATAAAATAATAATTAAACATTAAATAAATAAATAACAAAACAATAGAATAATAAAAAAAAAAGAAACGAAATTGAATAAATAAAAAAAGGTTAAAAATAATATAAAAAATGATATTAATCAGTGACCAAAATAAAATTTGCATAAAACCTTGGGCCAGATTCGGAAATATATAACTTGGGGACTAAAATATAAGCATAACAAATTAAAATTCCAAATTAAAATACTGAAAAATAAAATTTAGTGACCAAATTACAAGTATGAAAAAACCTGATGGCCGAGGACCGAGTTTACCCATGAAAAAAAAATACACAGAAGACCCCTAGGTGAAACGGCGCCGTTTTGGATCCTGCATAAATACATGATACCAAGGCCAAATGGCCTAACTCTCTTCATTCTCAACAATAGCTTTCTCTCTCTAAACAGAGAGAACCTTTGGTTCTCTGAATTCTCTCTACATCCTCATCGGAGAGGATGGCCGGCCCCAGGCCGACCGTCACCGCCGCCATTGCCGGCCACCGCCGGCGGTGGCCGAGAAAACGAAAATACCCCCCAAAGCTTCCTCTCAACCTCTCCAACCCAAAACCGAAGCCCAAACACCTAAATAATGCCCCCACCGGCGTAGATCTAGGGAACAAACTTTGTTTTTTTTTACCTTTTCCGTCGGTGACGCTTCGGGTTTCGATGGCCCCTTTCTTCTCTTGTGTTGTTCTTGATAAGAAGGGCTTCGGCCTTTTCGTTTCTGTTGATGTATCTGTATTCTGCTTTGTTTTTTTTGTTTTTTTGTTTTGTGGTTGTGTTGGCTTCGATTTGTTGGCTGTATCGTTTTTGTGTTTATTGATGGTTTCTGTGTTGGCTTACTGTGGATGTAGTTTTGCGGTTTGATTTGTTGGCCGATGATTATCTGCTTGCTGTGGGTTCTGGTTTCGCTCGGTTTTACTGTGGCTATGGCCCCCTGTGTCGGTCACCGTGGTGGGGTATTTATACCCACCCCACCGGTGGTCTACTCCGATAATAACGGGGTCATGAACGTTACTGCTGAAATCCCGGGATGGTTCAGTCCCGGGATCCTCGGCCAACGTCCGGCCGTTTCGCATGGCTCTTGACCTCCTGATTTTGCGGCGCTGTTGAGGGTTAAATGAAACCCTAGACAACTGCAACCTTGACCGTTGATCTCCATCTTGCTGCTGGGCTGGTTCAGGCCCAGTGTTTGGACCAGACTTGGACTGTTATTGGACATGGACCCTGCACAAAAATAAATGAGAAATAAATAAATTAAAAATAAAAATAAATAATAATAATATATATATATAAACGTTTTCAAAAACATATAATATATAAATTTTAAAATGTTTTTTTTTAAAAAAAAAAAACTATATATTATATGTATTTTCAAAATGGTTTTTAAAAATTATATATTATATAAATGTTTTCATAACGTTTTCAAAAGTATATATTATATATATTTTAAAACGTTTTCAAAAACTATATATTATATAATTTTCAAAAATATATTTTCAAAATGGTTTTTAAAAATTATATATTATATAAATGTTTTCATAACGTTTTCAAAAGTATATATTATATATATTTTAAAAACGTTTTCAAAAACTATATATTATATAATTTTCAAAAATATTTTAAAAACTATATAATATACATATTTTCAAAAATGTTTTAAACTATATATGTATTTTCAAAAACAATTTGCAAACTGTATAATATATATGTGTATGGACGAAAGTTAGTGTCTACACTGGGCCAAGTGAGACTCATCGCCCAACCGGCAGCTGATATCCGACATTCTCAATGCTTTTGAAGACGAGGTGTCTCGAAGCTAGAAGACCATGAGCAAGAAAGAGAGGAAGAGGAAGAAGAAAGCTGATTCTGCTGATGATATGTCTATTGGTTTGAAGGAGCCCAAGGAAGATTATGGTGAATTGAATACCGTTAAAAGTTCGATATGACATTGTTTAATTTATTAAGCAGTTTATCAAATATAATACAAATGATTCCGTGTACTGATATTGAGCCATTGAAAAAAACAAGCAATTCGAATTCCAAACCTATCATCACTTACTTTCACTCGATCAAAACAAACAACGACATATCTGCATCAAAATAAAAGTAGAGGGGATTAAATTCCAAATATACGAAGAGTATAGGGACTAGTTCGGAAATTGCGAAACTAATTTTACCTTAGACTTTGAGCCCCATGGAGTTTAACAATGACATGTTGAATTTAGTATGTACTTATGCAACTTTTTCCCAATAACCTTTGAAATTAATATTTTTTTTTTATTTTCAGTCTTTTTGATGATTTGGAGCTATTATATTATCCCATATGGCATAGATAGTCTTAAATTTTCATATCATCAAAATGATAAACAATTCAAATTTACCAATTGGTGTGGATAAAAATGTTTAAAGACCAAATTGAAAAAATCAGAAACTTGAAAGATTAAAAAGTGATTTATCCCATTAAATATAATAGCATGTCTGCCTGTGTGTAGTCCGCTGAGCCAAACGAATAAAGAGAGAAATCTCCCGCCCAACGTGTTCTCTTTTCACCCTCACAAAATCTCTGCTTAAACAAACATTCCCTCTTCCCTACCAATCACTCACACTGCTTCATAACACATAAACCATTTTCTTTTCCTTTCATACGGACGCAAAATGCTCCCCGGCTAGACCAGCAAAGCAAGAACTAATCGATATATACTTTTTTGGCTCCGTAATCACTTATAAATTCAACTACGCGTTAAAAAAGAGGATTGTTAGAGGTAAACATGGGAGAGAGTTCAATGGGAGGAGCACTTGTCCCCACCGCCACTAAATCTGAACAGCCGCCTCCATCGCCGATGAGCTCCGCGAATTTTCCGCCGCCTCCGCCTACGATTCATCATCTTCCTCCTACGAATCCGGTGCAGCCGTCCTCGGCGGAGGAAGACGCTGCGGAATTTGATCTGGACAAGGATATGCTCTGTCCTATTTGCATGCAGATAATCAAAGACGCTTTTCTGACGGCCTGCGGTCATAGCTTTTGTTATATGTGCATTTTGACTCATCTTCGGAATAAGAGCGATTGTCCTTGTTGTTCTCGTCATATCGCCAATAACCGTATCTTCCCTAATTTTCTGCTTAATAAGGTCTATTTTCCTTTTTCAATCTTGCTTATATTTTTCTGAATGATCAGTATGTAGGATGATCCTTTATTTAACTCTTGAGAACTAGAACTTTTAGGTTTGGATATTTTTAATGAAAAAGTACATTAAAGCTTGATCAAAGTGTAGCCATAGTACTAAATTGCTGTTGCGGATGATATGGCTTTATTTTTTCCCTGAAAGTAACTATGTTTCTAAATCGCCGATGCCGTGTTGCGCCCTTGAAATGGCAAATCCATATTTAATTCATTATTATTTCCAATTTGGATAAATGACATCATTTACATGGATGGAGACATTAATTCAGTGGTGTATTTGATAGTCTTTATCTCGAATTTCATGGAAGGATTTTTTTTTTAAACTTAGGTATCCATGGTTAATTGGTTAAACAAAGATGAATTTGGTTGGATAGATTGTGGATTGTGGAAATTCTATTTACTTGTATTCTTGTTTCTTGCTTAGTGCATACATTTTTCAGTAACGATGCTTGATGCATATCTCAATTCCTAGTATAGAGGTAGGAAAGATCAACATGGCAAGTAAATCGGAACTTCTTTGTCATGTTCCCTTCAAACAGCCTATTGTGATATTTAGTTTTGTTTTATGTTCATCCATGCAACTGACATTGCACATATATGCTGTCTGCCTGACGAAGAATAGTCTCAAGTCCAATGTGGCTTGGGGATACCCTTGGTTTACAAATTACACCAAAAGAAAATATATATGCTTTTCCTGGTTTTTTTACTTATTTACCTGTGTTGTTATCCTTATCTGTATAGACTTCTAATCACTTTTATTGACAGTCTTTTTACTCCTGTAGTTACTGAAGAAAACCCATGCTCGTCAATTAGCTAGGACAGCATCTCCAGTAGAACAACTTCGTCAAGCTATACAGCAGGTCTGTTCTACTATATTAGAGCATTATTTTCCAGAAACACCAATTATGAATTATGATAGTAGCATTTTGAACTTAAGTTGTACGAGGGAATCTAATCAGTTTGGTAATGTGGTTATGCATTTGTTTGAATACTTCACATTCATATCTTCAATCGCTAAAGAACCTTCTTGAATTTCTGATGAATGGGTTTTATCATTAGTCGATCTTAACTTTTTTAATCTAATTATGGATTCGTTCTTTTCACCTTTGCTTGCTACAAAGAGTGGTTGATATTATTTAACATAATGGGTCTCCTTGTGATCCTTAGACAGGGTTGTGAGGTGTCAGCCAAGGAGATAGATGGCTTGTTGTCTCTTCTTGTTGATAAGAAGAGAAAGATGGAGCAAGAAGAAGCAGAGACAAATATGAAGATTCTACTTGATTTCTTGCACTGCCTAAGGAAGCAAAAGCTTGAAGATCTTAAGGAGGTCCTTAAACTTGATTTTACATGTTCCTGGAAATGCTTTCCCTGTATATATAAGTAGGGATATAACTCTCTAGTTCATAAACAATCCATTAGAAGTTAAAACTAATTGCGCATACACAATCTACTAGTTTGATTGCATTAACTGAAATTGCGCATGGAACCTGAATCTGAATTCTTAGCTTCAAGCCAGTAATAATATTGATGCAAGAGAAAAGGAACCACATAAGAATCAATGGTATGAAACGCATAAATGATCATTTAGACAACCTACGGATAAAGCCCACTGAGAATGATACTTTGCTTTCAGAATCATCTTGTATAGTTGGCCTTACTCTGCTTTTTGACTTTAGGTCCATGCTCGTTGGATGCATCTAGTTGAGCACCTTCACTCCTTTCATTTGCTTTCGATTGTTCTAAATTACTCTTTTTGGTTCTTTTAGCTTTCTTATTTGGGGGGGGGGGGGTGGGTAGGAGAGTGGTTAAGGCTAGTTTTGTTTTATATTTTCACTGATAGTCTTATATGTTTTCCCTTTTTATTTAATGAAGATTCAAACTGATCTCCAATATATTAAGGAGGACATAAGCGCTGTACAGAAACGTAGGACAGAATTGTATAGGGCAAAAGAGAGATGCTCTGTGAAACTAAGAATGCTTGTTGATGATTCATTTACTGCAAAAGCGTTACCCTCATTGATTGATAAACATAAAAATGGCAATACATCTGGTGCTCGCCGGACGGGTTCTGCCATTTCACAGAACAAGTTTGATGCAAAAGCTCAAGTGAGTTCATTGGGATTCAGAAGTAACAATGCCTATGGTGAGTCAGATTCAGCATATGATATTAATTCAGGGTTGGCTGTAGCAAGAAAGAGGAGGGTCCATGCACAGGTTAGGTTTTTTGCTTATTTTTCCTTTCCTGTTGTGTGGTGCAATGCTGTACTTATTTGTGATTACAACATGAGCTGGTTCGAATTTGTTTGTCCAATGAGAACCCCATTTACTAAAAGTCTTCTAGTGGAAGTGCATGCACATAAGACTTAACTGTTCCACTAGATTGCATGTCTATAACTGGTCCCTTGAAACACTCTTAGTAGCACTCTTAGTAGCACTCTGTTCAAACGATATATGGAACAATTCAGACCTCCCACTTTTGCTAGAGTTACATTAGCTATATATCCTGCTCAGATAAATAGACATTTTGTTGGATGAATATATTATAATTACCTCTTGCTACAGTTTAATGATCTACAAGAGAGTTACTTGCAAAAGCGGCGGCATTGGATCAAGCAACTTCATAAACAAGAAGATAAAGACCAAACTGCAATTAATAGAGATGGTTATAATCCTGGGCTTGAGGATTTTCAGTCGGTGCTCTCATCTTTTACAAGATACAGGTACATATCTTTCTTTTCAGTGATCTTATTTCATAAATTCATCAAAATTTTCTTTTTGAGGGAAAATTTCTGGATCTCACGTTATGAATGTTATTTCCTTTTCTGTAATATTTATCATTTTTATACTTTGGATATTTATCTTTTTTTTTAATGTTCAAATTAGTCGATTAAGGGTCATTGCTGAGCTTAGGCATGATGATATCTTCCACTCTGCTAACATTGTTTCAAGGTAAGTGCAAAATGTATCATTCTGCGTGTTTCATTTGTGAGTCATTAACATGTTTCCTTTTGTATTTTCACACAATTTTGGTCCTATTCTTATGATTTCTGACAGCTCCTGAGTTAACTTGTTTTGTAATTTCTTGGAGATCTGATTTGATTGGGTAATGTGTTTAGACTTATCCAAACATTTAGTGTTGTGAACCAAAAAAATTGTACTGATCATTTGAACTTCTATTTTCATAAAATTTCCATGTTCAACTTGTTTGGAATTTCTAACCAGTAGAATTAATTTGCAGTATTGAATTTGATCGTGATGATGAGCTGTTTGCTACTGCTGGGGTGTCAAGGCGCATCAAGGTTTTTGAGTTTTCCTCGGTAAGAATTGGATGAAATATTTTAGGTTGGTTTGTTGGAATTCACGATTTCTGAATTTTCTATAATGGTGGAAGCATTCATATAAATGGAATTCAAAGCCACCTAATCTTGTAGGTAATTTTTAGAGCTTTCATTAAAGGGATCACTTTTCCCTGAAAACTATTAGAATGTCATTCTTTTATACTGATGATGTATGTATTAGTGTTATTGGATGGTAATTGTCTTTGCTTCACTGGTGAAAAATTGCCTATTTGATTTTCTGCAGGTTGTGAATGAACCAGCAGGTGTGCATTGTCCTATTGTTGAAATGTCAACCCGATCCAAACTTAGTTGCTTGAGTTGGAATAAGTACTATAGAGACCATATTGCTAGCTGTGATTATGATGGGATAGTCACTGTCTGGGACATAACGACTCGGCAGGTATGAAGAATAACTCTTCACTTTTATGGCTCACATATAATTCCCATGCTGGTTGCTCTGCACAAGTTTATTGATTGTAGTTCAGGCTCCAGTCATCTACAGTTAAATCTTAAATAAAGTGATTGTCAACTTTACAGAGTTTGATGGAATATGAGGAACATGAAAAGCGAGCTTGGAGTGTTGACTTTTGTTGCACTGAACCTTCAATGCTTGTATCTGGTAGTGACGACTGCAAGGTAAAATAACTTCTCCATGAACCTTGATTGCATTGAATATGGTTCTCTTGCAGTTTATCTGTTGAGATGAGATCAACAATGGGTGAATTCACCTTTTTGTTGTTGGTTTTATATGAGAAACACAAGTTCCATTTCATGATTAAGCAAAATGAACTATCAAATTAGTTGCATTTTATGTTCTCTATGTAGATTACAAGATTCTGAGATGTGCATCCCTGTAGAAACTGTTTCCGGCATGACAAGGCCCTGCTACTTTTTGATAGAATAGCCATTTAGTTCAGCAATTGACTTTATGATTGTTAGGGTATTCGATTTTGCAATTTAAAGTGTGTAACCTAATTTCTATTTGCCAGGTCAAAGTTTGGTGCACGAAACAAGAAGCCAGTGTTCTCAACATCGACGTGAAAGCGAACATTTGTTCTGTCAAGTACAATCCTGGATCCAGCGTTCATGTGGCAGTATGTCTTGGTTAAATAAATTCAACTTTTTTTTGTTTTCCAACAACAGAAATACTTGCATAAGTTTCAGACAATCATCAATAAAGAAGAGTTTAGTTAAGTTTGAGGTTTTTGAATTCTTGCAGGTCGGTTCCGCCGATCATCACATTCACTATTATGACTTGAGAAATATCAGCCAACCCCTGTATGTATTTGGTGGACACAAGAAAACTGTTTCATATGTGAAATTTTTGTCCAACAATGAATTGGCTTCTGCATCTACAGACGGCACTCTTCGCTTATGGGATGTAAAAGAAAATTTACCGGTAAGTCTACCAAATAAGTTACATGGCTAACAGGCTAACCATATAAATTTGTTATATCTTTGCTGAAACTAAGACGAAAGGATTACGTTGGCAAGAATCTGTTACTAAAAGCGTCGGCATGCGGCTTTGTAGTTACCATCTGACCGAGTGTTCTATATTGTGTCAGCTGCGCACGTTTAAAGGTCACACCAACGAGAAGAATTTCGTTGGTCTTACGGTAAATAACGAGTACATTGCCTGCGGAAGCGAAACTAATGAAGTATTTGTTTATCACAAGGTTTGTTAACAATCTAAACATGTGGGAGAATATAGTATTTTGGCGTCAAACCAATTTATAGTCCAAGTTACATTTTACTCTTGCAGGCTATCTCTAACCCTGCAGCTTGGCGTAGATTTGGTTCTGACATGGCCGATGCCGATGAGGATGGAGGGTCTCACTTCATCAGTGCGATATGTTGGAGGAGCGATGGCCCGACGATGCTGGCGGCAAACAGTCGAGGAACGATTAAAGTGCTTGTACTTGCAGCTTGAACGGTAACTTTTTCATAATATGGAAATTGAAACTTTGCATCTTTCCCTGTGTTGTGAAACTAGCTTAAACGTGTGATTTAAGGGGAAATGGGTCGATAGGTTCATTGTGGATTATTAATGATTATTGCTATTATTATTATTTATAGCTTGAAGAACTAGCTTGAATCAAATGTCTGAATCTGACATAAATTAATTACTATAGTTTATATTCAAGATTTATAATTATTTTCCTTGACAATAATTTTTTTAATATTCGAACATAAATTCTCGTTTTTTTAGTACAATATATTTTAGGGTAAATTACGCGTTTAATATCTAAACGATCAGTCTTGATCTATTTTAATATTTAAATCTTCAATTTTATCAAAACCATACTTAAAGTTACCACCGTTAAAAACTTTAGTTTTTGTTTCATTTTAATATTTCGTTCAAAATTTAACGTTAAGTTTTGAAAAAATTGAAAATTTAGGTATTAAATGGACCAACATTGATAGTTAGGTGTTAAATGCTTTTAGTTTTTAACGGCGAGTACTAAAATAAAATGAAAATTAAATTTTAAGTATGATTTAAAAAAAATTAAAAGTTTAAGTATTAAAACGGATTAAAACTGATAATTTAAGTACTAAATATATAGTTTACCCTATATTTTATCATTGTCTTATCAGTATCTCAATGAATTTTTCCCAATACTTTGGGCATATATATCCGCTAATAAAAGGACAAAAATATATATTTATGTATTAAATTTTATCAACGTGAATGTTAATAATTTATATTAACATTATGTTTGTGATTTTTATAAGGAAAATCGTAATATATATATATATATATATACAGATTTATTAGTTTAATATTATTAAGAGTGCGTTTGAACAATACAACATTATTATATAGAAATATAATAATTAAAATTTTGAACTATTTAAGCATATTTTAATTCTTTATATCATAATTATTTGTATAAATTATAACCATTCAGTTATACAAAATATTAACATTTTCACACAAAAATCAACATTAATCAAGTAATTCTTCAAAAAAAAATAAACAGGTAATTACTGTATATTTTTGAAGAAGTAAACATAATTCAAATAATAGAGAATAGGAAGATAATTCCAAATATTCCTATAACAAAAATAATTTGGTCAAATCGTATGACAAATATTCCTATAACATATGGTTTTTTTTTTTGAAATGATCAAATAATAGTAAAAACTAAATTCACAAAAGTACATATAATTCATGGACCTCTCATGAAATTTGACCAATTAGTTCCCTTTCTTCCTCGCCCTCGTTCTCCAAGATCTTGTGATCTGTAGGCGCCATCATCATCATCATCATCATCATCATGTCACGTATTGATCAGACATTGACCATCATCATCACAGTCATCAAGGATAGAGGATGATCAGAAAATGTCAAGAATCTCGAGGATCGAGCGGTTGCAGAGGGGACAAGACCCTCGATTCCATGACAATTCCCTCGAACAAACCCTGCAAAAAGTATGTCCACATGAGATAAACGCTGCACCTTTCTTCCTCCCCATGCACACGCAGCACGTCGAATCACTCCCCAATTATTGCTCCTCCCTTTCTCTTCCTCCTCCAGCAGCCTCATCAACGACACCCTCAGCGGCGTCCCCGGCGATCCTTGCGGTTCATGCGATGCCCGCAAATGTCGCTCCGCTGCAAAAGCCGCCGCTAGGATAATGCCCGACGAAACCAGAGCCGGGTTGACTCAAACTGGATCCGGATTACGAACTGCTCCTTCCGTTTCAACTTCATCTTCGTCTCTGCGGCTCATAGTCGTTGACCCGAATCCCCAGTTGGACCCACAACACCGCATGACTTTGAATCCCAGCCGTTCTTTGAAGCTCCTCCTCCTCCTCCTCCTCCTTTCCCCATCTACACCGTCCATTGTTCTTTCTGCAATGATTCCTGCAAAATACCACACCGAGTTGACTCACTTTCTTGTTAACACGGGCATTGCAAATGCAAAGAAAACCCAGAAAACAAGTAGCTAGAAAAATGCATGCTATGAAGATGGTAAAAGAACGGGGGAATCAACATACAGCAAGTCATGAAAGTCCACACAAACAATGAAGAGACTCTCTCACCTCTGGCGTTAAAAGAAGTGTTTTTCCTTTTGCAGAGTTTTCGGAGCCTAAAAAATAGTCAGCTCATCTGAGTCAAAAAAGGCTTTCCTTTTCAAGTTGCCACAAGAAGGAACAAGGACAAAATAGAAGAAGAAAATGATGAAACATACAAACAGATAAAGGATGGTAACGAGGAACGTGCTTGGGGCTTCAACTTTTGTACTTAAAAACTTTAGTTAACGGAATGTTAATTAAGAATAAAAATTACTATAGAATAGGATTACCGTGAATGTTATATTTTGTGTTTGGTTGGTTTAGTAGGAATGTAAGATTACCGTGTTTGGTTAAAGTAATAAAAGATTATTGGAATGTATATTTTACCAAATTGTCCTTATTATATATTTGTTTTTTAACAAGTTGAATTCTATTATAATATTATTATAATTAATTTATATATTTTCTTTAAAAAATTTAAATTCATAAAATTTATATAATTTTTTACAAAATCAAAAAGATAAATATGTTTAATGAAATGATAAAATTTTATTTTAACCACTGAACTTCATATAAAATTATAATTATGGATTTTTTTGTAAATCTAAAATAGTTTAAGGATAAATTTGTAATTTAACCTTCGTAGAATTTTTATTATTCAACGACAGAAGAAGGATAATTTTGAAAAAAAAAGAAGGCATTTTAGTCCAAAACGCCGGTAATCCAACAATACCTAAGGGAAGAGAGGTAATCACATTCTCGGTAATATACCCCAAACGGAAGAATGTGGATTCCATTCCCCGGTAATAGGATATTACGTGAACCAAACAGGGTGTATTCCTTATGGATTGAACAAATAGCACCACTTTGGGTATTCCTTATAGATTGAGCGATTAGAATACGTAATACTCGTAATCTTTAGATAGAATAATAATTGCTTTTGAAATGAACTAATTTATTTCGGTGGTTAAATGAATCATTGTTGATCCTAGATGTCACAAGTTCGAGCATCAACGATTGAAGTATGGTGATTGAGCGATCATTGTCAAATAGTTGAGAGTATTTAGAACATATTCTATTTTGTAATCACCTTAGCTTAATAAAAAAAAATAATAATTCTTTTTGTTACTAAAGTTAATAAGTTCACTTTAAAGATATTTTAATACACATATTTTTTTATCGACAATCAATTAATCTTAGTTAAATGAGATACTAAATTCCTTACATTAGTTAATTACTATATCATTTACTAGTGGTTAATCCAATATATATATATATATTAAATTTTAAATTATAATATATATTAAATTTTGCGAAGTCTATTAAACGCGTTTTATAGGACACGACGTAGTACTACGTAGGTAGTTTGAGAGATATTTTTCTAACTAATCTGGAGGTTATTTCGGTTTTTAATATAGTAACGCCTATATATATAATGTCAAACAAAATTTCAATAATATTCATTCTAGTAAGGCTAAAAAGAAGCCAAGCAAGCATGAGTTTCATTTGTATTTCATATGTAAATCTCATCATACTGATTTGCTTGCATCTTCATAGTAGATTTCTATTCGGATAAGAGTGATAACTCTTTTTCTTGGGGAATATTTGATTGTTCAATCCAAAGTTAAAATTAAAGAATGAATTCTCTAATATTTTAATTAGTATTGACCATGAATACTCACAAGGAATCAATGAAGCTATAAGCTGGAGCTTTCTTAATACCTGCTTCTACCATCGATTTCCTCAAATCAGCTGCACGATCCCATCTCTCCTTATCAGCATTTATGGTAGATAATGCTACATAGAGACCACAATGTCGTGGCTGCAACTCAAGCAACCTTCTCCCAACTTCATTTCCGAGTTCGAAGGCACCGTGAATCTTACAAGCGCCTAAAAGCGCACCCAACACCGATGCTTCGGGCTGAAATGGCATAGTGTTCAGTAACTCGGTTGCTTGAGTTAAAAGCCCTGCTCTGCCTAAAAGATCTACCATACACCCATAGTGTTCCATTATCGGCACAATGCCATATCGACACTGCATCGATCGAAAGAGTTCCGAGCCGGACTGGACTCTCTTGGTACGAGCACATGCCGTAAGAACAGCAACGAATGTAACCTCATTCGGATACACTCCATCCACTTTCATCTTCTCAAACAAGTCCAATGCCTCCTTTTCTCTTCCATTACATGCAAGTGAAGAGATCATTGCATTCCAAGTACAAACCTTTCTAACCAACATTTGATTAAATACTCCTAAAGCAATCTCTAAATGGCCTTTCTTTCCATAAAAATCAATCAATGCTGTCCCCATGAAAATGGTCATAGCAACTTCATTTCTGAAAATATACCCATGTATCTGTCTCCCTAGGTAAAACCCACTTCGTTCTTCTAAATTAGCACAACAAGAGAACACGTTAACGTAAGTAGCCTCATTAGGCCTCACTGAAAAATCCATCATTTTCTCAAAAACCCAAATCCCCTTTGCAAACTGTTTACTCCTTAGAAAACCATTCATAACACTTGTCCAAGACACCACATCCTTTTCAATCATGCAGTTAAAGAGGAAAAGGGCAGAACCCATCTCACCATTCCTCCCAAAAGCATCGAGCATCGCATTACACGCGACAATGCACGGGCTAAGCATTTCATCGAACACTTTACACGCATTGCACAAACCACCGAGTCTAGCATACACACCGAGCAACGATGATTGCACGAACGGATCAGCCAATACGCCACGGTTCAGTGCTTGGGCATGGAGGGGTGAGCAAGTGAGTGTGGCTAAGGAGAGAGACGAAGAGGCGGCTTTGAAAAGAGAAGTGAAAGTGTGGGCATTGGGGGGTGTTTGATAACCGAGCATGAGGGTGAAGAGTGTAAGGGAAAGATGTGGGATTATGTGGAGATAGGCTCTTATTAAGGTGTTGTAAAGAAGCGTTGCCTTCCATTTTGAAGAAGTGTTTTGGCTTTGCCGGTTGTTGAGGAGGTGGCCGCCGGTGATCAGCAGCGAATGGGTTTGCTTGATTTGGTTTGAATGTTTGATGAAACGTTGAAGGTGTTGTAGAAGAAACTCGGAGGTCATGTGACTGCTTGGGCAAAGTAGTTAAAATCGAAGGAGACGGTGATTTTCAAGTCGAATAAGCTATTTATACTCAAAATTATAAGATGTCAACGTAATAATACCAACAACCAGTTGGTATAGTAGGATGAAAAATTAGATCTTTTAAATAATGTTAAGGGTTCGAATCTTAATAATTGTGAATGGAACAAACTGAGTTGGGAGTATCACCCTTGCCTTTACAGTACCCGATTCGGATTAGTCGATCAATAGATCGGATATCGGTGATTATACTCAAAAAAATAAAAATTGTCGGCTGTAAAACAAAAATGATGAAAGTGTTTGATAAATTGTTTGTGAAAAATATTCGTATAATGTTCATTTATATTTTTTATTGTTTTCCAAGTGTTGCAAAGAAAATCTAAGGTAAGAATCATCTTCCTTACTCCTAAAGCTTTATTTCAAGTCCACTCTTACAAAGTTTAGAGTTGATAGCCTCAAATGGGTTTTGAGAAGTTTGAGAGACTCTTGAGATTTGATTCGTTTATCTGGAAGTTTAGACTTTAAGAGGTGTTTCTAAACCTTTCTCAGCCCTAAAATTCAATTAGTAACCATAACATTTTCTTCTTGCTAGTGAGAGAAGTTGGGGAAAACTCTCAAGCAAGGGGGAAGGAGAAACTTACCTTGGGTTGAGCCTTTGAAACTTCCAGCAACTTAGATACTCAGGTAACTCACTCTCAACTCATCTATACTACATGTAGTTCATTTGATGAGATTTAGTAAGTTGCATAATGTAACATCCCAAACTATGTGTTAGTGACTGAATTGTAAAATTTTAGAATTTGGTGATTAAAGTGAAATAGTAGAATAGTTCAAGAATTTATGTGGAAATATTTCCTGAAAGTTATTAGTAATTATTAAAAGAATTAAAGGGCAAAATGGTCATTTGACATGAAAGATTTTTATTTCCCTTATAAGATAAGGGAAACACGTGGAATCCATTTTGATTCCACACAATTTTCTCATCATCGTCATCTTCTTCTTCTTCTTCATACGAGAGAGAGGGCCAAGCAAATGTGAGTTTTCTGTTTTATTGATGGTTTGTTGATTTTAAGTATGGGTTTTGATCCTTAGATGATAATTAAGCTTAAGGAAAGCTTAATTTATCCTAAAATCAAAAGATGATGAAGTTATGAAAGATTAAATAGAATGTGTTTTTAAGTGAATTTCTGGAAAAGAGTTGATAAGTTGAATTTGAAACTAAATTTAAATTGTCATAGGTGTGAATAAGAATTTATAAGTGTTAAGTGTTAAATCAAAGTTTGGATAACATAGAAAATTGGGTATAATTCTTAACTTTAAGAATTTGGATGCAATATGGAAGATTTTAAAGTGTTGGAATGATAGGAATTGGTTAAAGTTGTTATAGATGAGTTTAGTAGCATAATAAGGATTTTATACATGAAAATTTGGGTGAAGTGTTGATGATTTTCGGGTGAAACCGGTTTATTATTAACAGGTGCATTGGTACAATATGAATGGGTACCGATGCACTAAGACAATTTTTTAAGGTGCATCGATACATTAAGGAGTGCATCGATGCTTGAAAATTTCGAAGCTATTTTGGGTACCTATGCACCCATAGTTAGGGGTGTATTCGGTTCGGTTCAGTTTTTTAGCAAAAATTGAATCGAACCGATATAAACGATTTTTTAAAATATAAACCGAAACCGAATGGTTAAAAACCGAAATATGTGAAATCGATTTTTTTGGTTCGTTAATTCGAGGTTTCATAAACCGAAAACAGTATTCCATATAATTGAAAAAAATCATTGTCTGCTTTGATTTTCAAAGAAAAAACTATAAATTCAAAAAAATACCTTACAGATGCTGAAAACACATATAATCCACATATATAATCTTAGTAAACACATATATAATCCATACAAAAATTGCTATGGATGATCCACATTCCACATATATAATCCATACAAAAACTATAATCCTCGTATTGTTCGCAGTTCGGTTCACACTACAAATTAAACAACCAAATCAAAGTGTAATTCAACTATCAAAGTTAAATAAAAAGTTACTTGAAACTATAATCATCCATGCAGATGCTAAAAACTTTTCAGCCTTCAAGTTTAGCTTTTCAGTCAGCTCTCCATCACCCATACCAGAATCTAAACCAACACATTAACGAATCAATAACAATCCATATTTTATGTTAAAAGCAACATTATTTCACATTTTGATTAACCTTTTCCTCCTAATTAACAAATTACATTTGAATTGAAATATATTTAAATTTAAAACTAATGTTTAATATTTTATCAAAACAATATTTCAATATCATAAACAGAAACAATATTTAAATATTATCATGTCATAAGCTGCAGTAACATTAAATCATAAAAATTTCAATCGGTTTGGTTTCAAATATTATCATGTCATAAGCTTTATAACATTAAATCATAGAAATTACCTTTGTAAGTGTCCATCTTCGATCAATCATCAATGGTCATCATTGTTTCATTTAGCCTTAAATCTTCGAAACCTATTAAAAGTCAAAAATATCAAGAAGTAATAATATTTACATAAATGAGTTAGAAAATATATTTACAAGTGTTTACATAATTATTACTTACCACTCTCAATGTTCTCAATTTCTTCAATTTGTTCCTCTTTTTGGATTGCTATAGGTGATGCTCTCAACCAATTTTGCGCACAAATGAGACACTCAACAATTTTTGGAGTTAAAGAACTCCGAAATGAGTCAAGAACACGACCTCCAGTGCTGAAAGTAGATTCTTAAGCCACTGTAGTTACAGGAATTGCCAAAATATCTCGAGCCATTATAGAAATTATGAGATAAGTCTGACTTTGTATCTTCCACCAATCAAGCAAATCAAATTTCTTAACATCAGGTTCTAATTTGTCCTCCAAATACTTTTCAAGTTCAGATTTTCCTTCACTAAACACACTTTCAGCCCTCTTCCTTTTGTACTTGGTCTTGGAATAAGCAAACAAATCAAGCATCATCAGTTTCAACCCTAGAGACATTAGATTGAGAAGCAACACTTGGTTCCTCTTGGGATTTACCACTTAACAAACTATAATGATCAAACAACTCACTTAAAGTTTGTTTTACAATTTCACTCAATTGCTCAGCTTTCTCAGCATCGTAAACTTCATCAATCACAATTCACAAAGATTGCATAATCCATCTTATGTCTAGGATCTAAAATCATAGAAATGAATAAGAGTGGATTAAGATTTTTCACATTCCCCCAATACTTGTGATATTTTTCCCTCATATTTGAAGCCATAAGTTTTATGCTTGAGTTTGGATCATTTCGCTTATCATTAATTCTTATTCCAATGATAAACACAACATGAAAATAATAATTGCTAGTAACATATGAAGAATCGGACAGCTTCAATGTAGCATCATAAAAGGCTCTTAAAAATGGCAATAAAGCACAAGCATGCTCTCAATCTAAGTCAATAGGTAGACTCTTCATTTTTGAACTTGAAAGCTCATCTCTATACTTAAAATCCTCCTCTCCAAACCTGTAAAAAGTTGTTTCGAATCTCACATCAACATCTAGCATTAAAAATGTTGAATTCCATCTAGTTTCAACATCCAAGCAAACTAAACCCTTGCTCTCAATTTTTTCTTGCTCAACACACAACTTAAACCTTTGCATCCTAGATGGTGATGACATAACATATCTAACAGCTGAACGAATTCTAAAAATCGAGTCATTCAAATCTTTCAAACCTTCTCTAACAATTAGATTTAATATGTGTGCACAACACCTTATGTGAATGTAATCACTCCCTAAAATATTATGTTTCCAATTGTTTAGCCTTTTTTATATACTTGATCACAACATCAATAGAGCTAGCATTATCAACTGTGATTGTGAGCACCTTATCTATTCCCCACTCAAGCAAGTGTTTTTCAATGCATTTCCCTATCACATTACCCGAATGACTTGGAATGGGTGTAAAATTTAAGATTCGTTTATGTAATTTCCATTCATCATCAACAAAATGGACAGTGAGACACAAGTAACTAAGGTTTTGCTTAGAAGTCCATATGTCAGTAGTGAGAGAAACCCTTTGATTGAAACTCTTAAAATACTTAAAAAGTTTATCTTTTTCTTCCAAGTAAATTTCTATGCAATCCTTTGTTATAGTGAACCTATACGGAACTTGGAATCTAGGCTGCATCATATTGCAAAAATCTCGAAATCCATCATACTCAACAACTCTAAAAGGTAATTCATCCATGATAATCATCCTAGCACAATATTTTCTACATTGTGTTTGGTAAAATTTCCAAATAAATGAACTCGAACTTTGCTGCCCATCCTCCTCTGATTTAAAACACAAATTCTGTTATTTTGCATCTACCTTGTTAAATAGGTACTTAAGACAACGTTTCATATGATTATTCATGACACTAGTTCCACTTTTAGTTGGGCATTTAAGGGTTTTTCCACAATAATTACAGCTACATTGTGGAATATCTCCAACTACACAAGGTAATTTTGTAAAATGTTCCCAAACTACAAAACTTGTGGTACCTAACCTGCCTCCTGGTTTTTTTAAAGGCTACTGATGATTCGATGGGATGCTTGAAGAAGCTTCAGCTGATTGATCAGTTTTGACAACATCATTTGAATTATTTGGAGTATCACAAGGAGTTTCATCTTCAGCGCGAAACATATGAGTACCACTAGATTATGAAGATTTCATTTTCTGAAGGAAAAAAATTTTACAATGACAAGAAAAGATTGAAGAAAGTGAAAGTTGAAGCAAAAGGAGGAAGTTGAATCAAAACATGAATTATGTTCATCGTACAGAAATCATCATCATGCTAAACTCAATCAAAGCAACACAAACCATTAATCTCACTACATATTAAGCATGAAGAAGCATAACTCAAATAACTTAAAATACACACCAATGCTCGGATTAACAAGATAAACAAAAGAGTATTACAAAAATGATTCTATGGTT